ATCCTTCTAGTTTTTATTCCAGCACAGTTTTTTACAAATTTAAGATCACACTGATTTGTTTCAGTTCTTTGTAGATTCTGGATATTAGCCCTTTATTGGCTGTATAGTTTGAAAATATTTTCTCCCATTCTGTAGGTTGTCTATTTATTCTGTTGATTATTTCCTTTCCTGTGCAGAAGCTTTTAAATTTAATCAAGTGCCACTTATTTATTGTTGTTGTTGCTGTATTTGCCTGTGGGGTCTTAGTCATAAATTCTTTGCCTAAGCTGATGTCTAGAAGAGTTTTTCCTACATTTTCTTCTAGAAATTTTATGGTTTCATGCCTTATCTCTAAGTCTTTTATCCACCTTGAATTATATTTTGTATATAACAAGACATAGGGGTCCTGTTTCATTAAATAAACAGCCCCATTAAAAAGTAGGCAAAAGACATGAACAGCAGTTTTTCAAAAGTAGACAAATGGCCAACAAACATATGAAGAAATGCTCAACATCACTAATCATTAGGAAAATGCAAATTAAAACCACAATGGCAGATCATATTACTCCTGTCAGAATGGCCATTATTTATTTATTTTTATTTTTTTGAGACTGAGTCTCACTCTGTCTCCTGGGCTAGAGTGCCATGGTGTCAGCCTAGCTCACAGAAACCTCAAACTTCTGGGCTCAAGCAATCCTCCTGCCTTAGCCTCCTGAGTAGCTGGGACTACACACGCGTGCCACCATGCCTGGCCAATTTTTTCTATTTTTAATAGAGATGGGGTCTTGCTCTTACTTAGCCTGGTCTTGAACTCCTGACCTCAAGTGATCCTCTCGCTTTGGCCTCCCAGAGTGCTAGGATTACAGACATGAGCCACCGTGCCCAGCCAGAATGGCTATTATTTTTATTTATTTTACTTTTTTATGAGACAGAGTCTCACTTTGTTGCCCAGGCTAGAGTGAGTGCCGTGGCATCAGCGTAACTCACAGCAACCTCAAAGTTCTTTTTTGATCTTCACCAATTTGACAGGTAAAATAATATCTAGTTGACACACTTTGCATGTTCTGTTATTACTAGTGAGGAAGGACAAAGTACTTTATTGAACAATTATGTATCTTTGTCAATTCTCCATGCTTTTGTCAAGGTCCTTATTGAGGTCATTGTGTTTTTCTCATAAGTTTATACAAGTTCTTTATACAATAAAGATAATGACCCTTTGCTATACTTGTATATATTTTCTGATTGTTTATGATTTCATTTTGTTAATTATATTTTTGTCATATAGAAGCTCTTAAGTTTTTTGTAGTAAAATCTACCTACTTGGTGGTTTTTTCTACTGCTTTTTTTTTTTTTTTTTTGAGACAGAGTCTCACTCTGTTGCCTAGGCTAGAGTGAGTGCCATGGCATCAGCCTAGCTCACAGCAACCTCAAACTCCTGGGCTCAAGCAATCCTTCTGCCTCAGCCTCCCAGTAGGCTGGACTACAGGCATGCGCCACTATGCCGGCTAATTTTTCTATATATCTTAGTTGGCCAATTAATTTCTTTCTATTTATAATAGAGACAGGGTCTCGCTCTTGCTCAGGCTGGTTTCGAACTCCTGACCTCGAGCAATCCGCCCGCCTCGGCCTCCCAAAGAGCTAGGATTACAGGCGTGAGCCACCGCGCCCGGCCTTTTCTACTGCTTTTAAGTTTAGGAAGTCCTTCCCCATCCAAATTTCAGATGCATAATTATCTTTATTTAATTCTAGGGCTTTTATGATTTGATTTTTTTGAGCTTCAACTAATTCATCTGGAATTTCATTTGGTGCGTGGTAGGGGGGACAGGGCTCAGAGTTTAAAGGGCATCTCCTGGTGCTTGTTACAAACCCAGATACCCTTGAACCCTCCCTCCCTGAGATTTTGATTTCGTATGTGTGGGGGTGTGACTCAGGGTTCTGCATTTGTTATAATCACTTCCGCTGATTATGTTGCACATGTACCCCTGACTATATTTTGAGAAACTTCTGCAGTATGTAGTATAGCCTGCTTTAGCACAGAGACTTATCACCTCCCATCTGAATGGCTGCAGCTGTCTCCCTCAACTTCCAGGTCACTGCACCCTAAAATTCATCCTATACACAGCTACTAGAGTTATGTCGCAGAAATATCGCATGAAAAACCTCTTCATTAGCTTCTGCTTGTTACAGGAACTAGCTCAAACTCCTCATCCCAGCACTCCAGGTTCTTCATTATCTCCCTGGACCTATCTATCTAATCCGCCAGACAGCTAATGACTTCACTGATCTTTCATCTATCTAGCCAGGCCTGCCTCCTCATGGGCCTTGTACAAATAGTGCTCATTCTTGTTTTCATGATGCGGCTCCCATCTCCTCTCATATAATTCATATCCTATGTATTCAACTCAGTCCTCGCATTTTCTTCCTTCCCTGAGTACAAAGATATGGGTGCTTTCCTAGAATTACCATAGCCCCACTTGTGTATTCTTACACTGTGAGTCTTGTCTTCTCATCAAATCACAGTCTTGAAAGGCGTGATCTGTGAATCTCTCTCTCATAGCCTGTAGCACAGTCCTAGATGCACTGAGGAACCAAACCAGCCCTAACTGCCAAATAATTTTAATACATGCGATTTCTGAGAGCTAATGCTGTAGCCTCTTGGATATCTTTGCCTTGCTCCAAAATGAGAATGTTTGACAAAGTTCTAGAGATTTCACTTTGTCAGGATTTGGTTAGCTGATAACAAAGTTAAGGAAAAGGTTATCTTGGTTCCAGCTCTTATTTGATTTAACAATATTGCTTATCACCTATGACATGTCCATTTATTGACTTTTTCAGTTCAAGAGCCTAACCTTTTCTATAATGTGGAATATTTCTTCCCCTTCTTACAAATGTAATGATTTCTCTTTTATAGAAAAACATGCTTTATCAGATTAAACAAACATAACGGGGTTAATGGCTAAATAATTACATTATAGCTTCCTTAATCGCTTTTCTCTCTTTACCCCTCGGGGTTATGCCTCCTCAGAATGACAGACTTGCTTTAAATGAGTTTGTGTGGATGCCTGGAATGGGTGGAGATGAGGGTTAGGGAGGAAATGCCCTTTCCCTTTCAGTAGACAAGGTTCGATTCAGTTCAATTAATCAAATACTTATCGAGCTCCTATTGGGCACAGCTCCTCTGTGCTAGGCACAAAGAACGCCAAGAAGAGAAATGATAAAGGAGCAGGAGGGCTGAGGAAGGGGAAATAAGGAAAAGAGGAAGTGAAGAAAGTAGAGCTGGCTATCTACACAAGAAGGGACTGAAAGGGGAAAAAGGGAAAATAGAGCCAAGGTGCATTTTCTGGCCTGGTGTCACTTGACAGCACTGTGTGGACCTAGAAACCTGAAGTCATTAGTGCCACTTTTTTCCAGATGAGGAAACTGAGGCACTGAACAATTAAATAACTCGCTCAAGTGCACCCAGCTTATAAGTGGCAGATCTGGGCTTTGAACCTTGGTCTGACTGACTCAGTGTTTGCTGTTATTTGAAGTATTGGGCCCTGTTTAATTTACTGCTGTACTCACGAGGGCTAATGTATTGCCTTGCACATAACAGGCATGTAATGCTTTAAATAAGTAAATAAATGAGCTGGGCAGCACAGTGGCTCACGCCTATAATCCCTCCCATGGCAGGAGGATCCCTTGATGCCAGGAGTTCAAGACCAGTCTCGGCAACATAGTTAGACTCCTGTCTCTACAAAAAATAAAAAAAAATAGTGGAGCGTAGTAGCATGGGCCTGTAGTCCCAGCTCTTATGGAGGCTTAGGTGGGAGGACTGCCTGAGCCCAGGAATTTGAGGCTGCAGTGAGCTATAATGGCACCACTACACTGTAGCCTACACTGTAGCAACAAAGTGAGACTCTTTCTTAAAAAAAAAATAAAAATAAAATGAAATGTTGACTATAAAGTGCTTTCCACTTAAGCCCAATAACTATTAAGCATAAAAATTAAATATCATTTAATGTAGGTTCACTTTGCTATAAATTTTATTCTATTAAAAATCAACAATTTTTTTTTTTACAACACACATATATATGTGTCCTTCAATGTTCTCTTATTCATTTGGCTGGGCTAATGACTCCTCTAAAAATTCGAGGAATTACTGAATGTAGTCCAGGAGCTAGCAAATGAGTTAGCGGTATCTGGCCTCCTTCTGAGTTCTGTAGTTGAAGAGGAAAAAAAAAATGATTTCTCTGAGGTTTAGGATTTAATAGCCTTGAATGGGATCCAGTGAAGAAGTCAGGTTTCGCTTGCCATGATAACAAAATGCTTTTCTGATGCAATATAAAATCGAGGGAAGCTGAATGCCTGAAAAACTCAATAGCCCAGAGTAAGAGCTTTTACCAAAGGATGCCATTTCAGGAAACCACCCTGATCCTCATCTCCCAATCTCCTAATCCATTATGAATTTGATGCCTGCAATTCCACCATTAGAAAACCATTCTTGGCCAGGCACGGGTGGCTCATGCCTGTAATCCTAGCACTTTTGGAGGCCGAGGTGGGAGGATCGCTTGAGCTCAGGAGTTCAAGACCAGCCTGAGCAAGAGCGAGACCCCGTCTGTACTAAAAATACAAAGAAATTAGCCAAACAACTAAAAAGAGAAAAAATTAGCCGGGCGCGGTGGCGCGAGCCTGTAGTCACAGCTACTCGGGAGGCTGAGGCAGGAGGATCACTGGAGCCCAGGAGTTTGAGGTTGCTGTGAGCTAGGCTGACTCCACGGCACTCACTCTAGCCTGGGCAACAGAGTGAGACTCTGTCTCAAAAAACAAACAAACAAACAAACATAAAAAACATTCTTTGGGTTGGATGTGTTGAACTGCAATCACCCCTGGTATGGGTAACACTGTTAAAACCGCAACGCGAATTTCCTAAGATGTTTTCATGGTTTATCCAGATCCACCAATGGGACGGCGAGAAATGAGGCGGCGGTGGGCGGGGTTGCGGGGAGCCCAGGAGAACTTGAAGAACGCAGGCAGCGGGCAATAGGGGTATGTGTACTTTTGAGGAAGGTTTCAAGAGAAGCGCCTCTGGGGAAAGTAGAGAGGGCTGCTCGGGAGAGGAGTCCAGTTGTCAGGGTCAGGTTCCCCGCCGGCGCTGGGAGGAGCCGGGCGTCCCGCCGCGCCTGCCCCGGGCCGACTGCGCGTGCGGCGGGGGTAGAGGCGGCCGGCGCACCAGGAAGTGACTTCCCCGCCACTGCAAACTAGGCCGTCCGCCGGTCTTTTGGTTTGCCGCCTCAGCTTTGTAAGAGGATTTATTGGTTACTGAGGAAGGTAAGGTGGGGTGGGCGAATAACCCGGAAATCCCGATGTAACCCTTGCAATACAAAAAACTGCTTATTGCGCCAAACTGCCCGCGAGGCGGAGAATTGATAAGTCAGGCGGGGCTGCAGACGGGATCCGACGGTGGCGGCACAAGGTCGCGTCCAGCCCAGCGTCCTCCTGTGTTCTAACTCCCCCCCCTCCAATTTTTGGCTTCCGCTGGCCCTGCAGCCTGCCCAAGTTGAGTGGTAGTCTTTCCTAGCGTCTCCCTTTTGTTAATGACCCTTCCTACGGTTGACACGGTGGGCCGGACTTGTCCAAAGAAAGGGGAATGGAGGAGTCTGGTCGGGGAAGGAAGGAAGGAAGGACCTGACTGCACGTGGTTTGCAGTTGGGACACAGCAGTCAACACATCTGCCTGTCTAGTTTAGCAAGGAACTGTCAAGTTTAGCAAGGAACTGTGTCTGGGGCCTGGCCAACTGAAGGAAAGGTGAACAGAGAGTGCAAGCAGGACCCTTGTAGGTGAACATTTTGCACCAAGGTCCTGCTTGGACCTACCACATAGATTTGAACCTCTCTGAGCACTTGAGGCAGGTTATTCATTAAAACCCTGGAGAGTGATTTTACCTTCCTATCAGGCTATGCTGAACTCTGGGGTCCTTTGCAGTCAATTCCTGAGGCAGGTATAGAGCAGTTGAGCAGTTCTCACACATTTTTTTTTTTCTTTTGCAAAGAAAAAAAACCCAATCATTTTTTTAAAACAGAAAAAATAAAAAGAAAATAGTCTTTTCTGTGAACTGATGGCCCCTCTGACATTAAGAAACGGAAACAGAACTCGCCTTGACTCCTATTACCATGCTGCCTTGAAAAAGATATTTCCCTGCAGAAATTACTAAATATGAAAGGCTCTTTACCCAGAGTGATGGCTAGCTGGCACCCTGAAATAGTAAGGTCCTATTTTACAACATGTTTGATAATTTGGAGGAAGAGACCTAGACGGACAAGGGACCCTACAGTTGGGGTACAGGGCAAATGAACCACAGTCACGGTGTCAGTCACCAGTGAGAGGACCCGAATCCAAAAATGTCTAAATGTCACCAAGTAGGGTTAGCTGTTTTCAAATTCCTCAGCTCCCCTGTCCCTCCTGTACCAACCCCCAGATGGGCCTGCAACTTCCTTCATCCTTCTAACTTCCCTACTGCCTGGAGGGACAGGGTCCCTCTCCTGGACCAGCATCACTCCCTCCCCCTATAGTCTAGGCTTCATGGCCTTGAGCCTCCTCAGTCCCACCAAATCATTTTTTTTTTTTTTTTAGTCAGAGTCTCACTCTGTTGCCTGGGCTAGAGTGCTGTGGCATCAACCTAGCTCACAGCAACCCCAAACTCCTGGGCTCAAGCGATCTTCCTGCCTCAGCCTCCCAAGTAGCTGGGACTACAGGTACACGCCACTGTGCCTGGCTAATTTTTTTCTATATATTTTTAGTTGTCCAATTAATTTCTTTCTATTTTTAGTAGAGAAGGGGTCTCGCTTTTGCTCAGGCTGGTTTCAAACTCCTGACCTTGAACGATTCTCCTGCCTTGGCTTCCTAGAGTAGGATTACAGGCGTGAGCCACCGCGCCCAGCCAAAATCATTCTTTATGCTTTGTCTCCTGCATCTTCACTCATTTCCTCTTTCTGGCATTTCCTCTTTATGGCTCTTCTCTATATCAAATATACAGGTTTCTTCCACTTTGGAAAAATGTCAATCTCAGGCCACACACTTTTGATAGTATTCACAGGTGGTCCAGAGCAGGCTGTAACCTCACCACACTCCAGCAGGCACTCATGTAGAGGGTCAGGAAAGTTTGTGTGAGTGTGTGTGTATGTATTGTTTTTAAAATTCCCCATATAATTTTACTTACCCTCACAGCACTTATGTGCATTTTTACATCTTGCCAGTTTTGCAGGTTGGAGGCATTGAGGCTTGATGAAGCTAAGTGACATGGCTTTGAATCAGAGCCTAAGGTAGGGCAGTGACACATATTGAACACTTGCTGTGTTAAGCATAGTTCTGAGCATGTCATATATATATAAACTCATTTAATTCTCACTACAACCCTGAAATGTAAATGTTATCAGTCCTATTTGTATAGATGATGACACAGATTCATAGCATTTAAGTGACTTGCCCAGATCCACATAGCTAGTGAGAAATAGAGCTGGGATTAGAATTTGGCTCCAAAGCCTATGTTCTTAACTGTGATGACTTACTGCCTTTTGCTCGGGGGGATTGGGCTGAAGGTGCTATTGCTCACTCCTGAACTCTTGGCCAGCTTACATATATTCTGTTAGAAATTTGAAATTCCCCCCCAAATGATCACATGCTATCACAGTTACTTTTTTTAGTACTTTGTAATCATACAAAATGCTATATAGGCTAAATATTACAGCATCTATGCCAGCATCCTCTAGGTTACCCATTGATCAGGGCATGCTAATTTAGCAGTAGTAGAGGGAGCCATAGAGGAAACTTTGTTAATAAATCCATTGCATACATTGAACTTTATTTTTTATTTTTTTAGAGATAAGAGTTTTGCCCTGTTGCCCAGGCTGGAGTGCAGTGGTGTGATCATAGCTCACTGCAGCTTCCAAGTCCTGGGCTCAAGCAATCCTCCCACCTCAGCCTCCTTAGTAGCTGGGATTACAGGCATGAACCACTATACCTGGCCTGGGTTTGATGTATGTATATCATTCTGAATTAAGCCATGACTTAACATTGAGATGGAATCCAAGGTAGAGGTCAAGGGCAAAAAGGTAATCTCACAGCAGATCAGTAGGGTGTTAGGCCAAGTCCTTTCACATGTCCTGGGTACTTAAAAAAGGTTCTTACACAGTAACGGACAGACAATGTAAGGGAAACAGTCAAAAAGAATCCTGTGTCAGTAGATGAGGGATTCCTTTTTCCAAAGTGAAGTCCTCTACTGTGTTCTCGTAATCACCTGTTTTAACTCTTCCAGCTTTTGTCTCATAGTTCTTCCCACTATTCCTTCCCCATGCTCCTTTCCTCCTTCAGTATTGCCACCTCCGCTCAGTTCCATAGTGACTTTTTTTTAAAGAAATAAGATCTTGCCCTATCTCCCAGGCTGGAGTACAGTGGCCCAATCACAGTTCACTGTAACCTTAAACTCCAGGGCTCAAGTGATCCTCCTACCTCAGCCTCCTGAGTAGCTGGGTGGTGGGGTGGTACAGGCTAATTTTTTTTTTTTTTTTTTAAGAGATGGGGTCTTTCTATGTTGCCTAGGCTGGTCTCACACTCCTAACCTCAAGTGATTCTTCTACCTTGGCCTCCCAAAATGCTGGGATTACAGACATAAGCCACTGAGCCCAGCTGTACTCTCTTTAAGCACATCATGATGGTTATTAATGCTTATCAAAGAGCTTTTGCCAGATACTGGACACTGCTTTACAAACATTGTCTCTATTTAATCTTCTGCTAAGTACTTTTTATTAATTATTTTTCTTTAACTCTTGAAACCACTATATGAGGTAGGTAGTCTTTTTTAGCTCCATTTTACAAGTGAAAAAAAGGAAGGTCAGAGGGAATGATTAACTTGCTAAAGGCAACCTAGCTAGGAAGTGGTGGGGCCAGTGGACCACCCAGGTCAGGTCTGGCTGTCTGACTCTAGGGCCTACACTCCTAAAATCTCAAAGCTTCATTTGTCCCTACTGCTTGCCACTTTATATGGCCTTCTTTTCCTTCTTTCTTTTGCATCAGACTTACTGGATGAGTCAGTGCCTTCATCAAAGGCATCTCCTTTGGCTTCCATGGCTCCACACTCTCCTGGCTGTCCTGAGACATGAACATCATCTCTTCTTGCCCTGCAAATGTTACCTACCTTTCCACCAAGTTTAGTCATTGGCCTTTTGCTCTTTTCTTTACTCAAAGCTTTGTTTTTATCTTATAGTTTGTACTTGTAGATACTCCACCAAGTCTCTAGCCCTGACTTCTTATACTGCTTCTGTACTTACTTGTTAGACATTTCCATTTGGATATTTCCCTACTATTTCAAATGCAACATAGCTCAAGTGTGAACTTGCTTTTAGTCACACCAGTCTTCCCACTGTCCTCCAAACATCTAATTTACCTCCCTGCCATCCTTTAAGACCTGTTGCCAGGCCTATCTGCTCTACTGCCTTTCCTGAGCACTCATCAGGTATCAAGTGTATGGTGTTATTTACTAATGTCTTTCCTATGTTGGCAGTTAATCTCCTCATTTAGATTGTAGCCTTTGTAACCCCTCCAGTATCTAGTGTGGCATGGTGTCTTGCACATAGTAAGCACTTATTAAACATTAGTTGATTGATTGGGTGTTGGGTGTTGGGTGGAATAGGGAATAAGATTGGTCACAGAAGTATGTTCAAAGAGTTGAACTCTTTTCTGGAGTGCAAAGACTATATATATATATATATATATATATATATATATATATATATATTTTATTTATTTTTGAGAAAGTGTCTAACTTTGTTGTCTGGGCTGGAGTGCCGTGGCGTCAGCCTAGCTCACAGCAACGTCCAACTCCTTGGCTCACGCAATCCTTCTGCCTCAGCCTCCCGAGTAGCTGGGACTACAGGCACGCGCCACCATGCCCGGCTACATTTTTCTATATATTTTTAGTTGTCCAGCTAATTTCCTTCTATTTTTAGTAGAGATGGGGTCTCACTCTTGCTCAGGCTGGTCTCAAACTCCTGAGCTCAAATGATCCTCCTGCCTTGGCCTCCCAGAGTTCTAGGATTCCAGGCGTGAACCACTGCGCCCGGCCCATATTTTTTTTCTCTCTCTATTTGGGAAGCCTAAGACAGTGCCTTGCATGCAGTAATTCAGTTCTGTTAACAGGCCTGCTTTTACTGTGTACTGTGTACCAGCACTGTGTTAGGTGCTGGAGTTCCATAAGGGTTTGTAAATGAATGAGGGGGTTTGGGAGTTGTGCCTCCATTTCCCAACTTCTGTATGTCTACCTTTCATGCAGGTGAATTTCAGTGGTGTCTTTGGATGGCAGGCATTAAGAGGAAAGTCCCAGTGCACAGATTGAGATGCTTCCTCTCTATGGTGGGTTTCTTCTCCAAACCAGGGCTGTTTCCCTGGTGGGCCAGAAAAACACCAGGTTGGTCACGGCTATTTTTGAGCACAGCATGTAAGGGAAATTTCACCCATGTGATAGCCAAGAAGTGTCAAAAAGGACAAAAAAGTCAGAAGGAACCAAGCCATCTTGGACCACTAGATGGTTCCTGGCAGGAAAGGTAAGGCCCAGGCTGATGTCCTTCCTCCTTAGCAAGTCTGAATCTGTGGGTCTACTGAAACTCTGTATTCCTAATACTGTGTTTCCCTGAAAATAAGACAGTGTCTTATATTTATTTTTCCTCAAGAAGACACCCTAGGGCTTATTTTCAGGGGATGTGTTATTTTTTTAAGTATGGTACAACAATCTACATTTATTCAAATATAGTTAAGTTGTCTTCTTCTGGAACATCATCAATTCTCCAAACCCCGAATTCCATCCTGAATTTCTTGTGACTCTATTTCCTTTAGAACCATTGGCCCCAATCTCTCATGTTGAGCAATAGAGCTCTCATGGGGCAGATGAGAAGGGCTGCTCATCTTTTTTACCTCTCCGTGAGGAAATGCATGGGTTGTACAGATGCGCTGCATAGCCATGCCCATCACTAGGTCTTATTTTCGGGTTAGGGCTTCTATTGCACAAATGCTTAGAAATCCTGTTTGGGCTTATTTTATGGGTAGGTCTTATTTTCGGGGAAACATGGTATAACTAATGTGGCATTGTAAGGATTTGAAGAGGCACCTGTGGTAGGATACCCAGGGCAAACTTGAGGATATCTGAAGAATATTGGTGGAAATGCTTTGCAATTGCAGAAAATATTCTCCTTGTCTTTGAGTATGTTTTTGTCAGAAAGAAGATATTAAACTGGGCTCTTGTCTTTTAAAAAGTCCATGGCAGGTATGTTGAAAACCAGGGACCCAGAATATTAGATGGGTTACAGATGAATAGTCCCCACTGTAGCCATAGAAGCACAAATATACCACATTTTATGCCAGAAATGTATTTTGTAAATCAAATTACATTTTAAAAGCATTAGGAAGGTGAGCTATTTAAAGGAACCCAACAGTGAAGCCTTTTTTAATATGATTAATTACCTCCTGATAAATCTGGATTTTTCTTATATTAGGTTTGCCCATCTGGTCTTCTTTGTTACGTACACGACACCAAAATGGGCTCTTCTCCCAGACTCCATCTCCCTAGGGGCATGAGAGTTAGGTGTTCTGAATAATAGATAAGTAAAATACCAGAGAAAATGGTGGTAGGAAGTATTTATGCATAGTAGGCGCTCAGTACATGTTTGTATAATTAATGAAGTGCCTGAATTATTTTATTCAAGGCTGGCTGATGTTGTGACGCCACTCTGGAGGATGAGCTATGAAGAACAGCTCAAGGTAAGTGTCCAGGTTAAGTCTTTACCCCTTCTTTCCAGCGGGGGAATGGTGCTATACTTGTAGGAAACTTGACTGGATAGTTCTCTCCAGATGCCTCAGCAGTTTAAACTCAATATGCTAATGACTCTGAAATTTGAACTTTAGGCCAATTATATCTTCCACTCTCTAGATCCATAGATCCAAATGCTTATTTCCTTTTCCCCTTGCTTTTTTTTGTTGTTGTTGTTGCTATTCTTTTTTTTTTATTTTTCTTTTATATATTTTTTCTTTTTTTTTATCTTTTTTCTTCTACTTAAAGTGTTTATGGTTTGTTGCTGCTATTCTTATAGCTCTGTTTATGTGAGTAGCAGTGCTCTTGCTGTTTCATATATAGCTGTACTTTCCAACACGGTAACCACTAGCCACATGTGGCTATTTAAATTTGAATACAGTCAATTCTATTATAATGCTTATTTTGAAGCAGAAATTTGTTTCAACGGATTGACATATTAGGGAAAATTTGAGCATAATGCAAATTTCACGTTTGCTTAGGAGTGATTTCATCCATGAGAAATACTAGATAAAAGAAGGAAACTGCATTCAGTTGAACCAAGCTATGTAAGAACACATAAAATGAATGCACACACACACCTCAAACATCTATCAGTTCCCTCAGTTCCCCAAGTGTGTTATGAGCAACACCTGGCCATCTGCATCTGGTGTTAGAACTTTTCTTTTCTTTCTTTTTTCCTTTTTTTGAGACAGAGTCTTGCTCTGTTGCCTAGGCTAGAGTGCAGTGGTGTCATCATAGCTTACTGCAACCTCAGACTCTAGAGGTCAAGTGATCTTCCTGCCTCAGCCTCCTGAGTAGCTGGGACTACAGGCACGTGCTGTCATGCCTGGCTAATTTTTATGTTGTTTTATAGAGATAGGGTCTCACTATGTCACCCAGGCTGGTCTCGGACTTCTGGCCTCAAGCAGTCCTCCAACCTCAGCCTCTCAAAGTGCTAGGATTGCAGATGTGATCCTGGAAGAACTTTACATTCAACTCACATAACCCTCCTTTTACCACTTCATGATAACTCCAAACTACAATCATTCTGACACCTGTTTCTACAAGCCAACTTCAGGTCTTTGTCAGGGTAAAGTGCCATCCTTATTGTAGTATTCATATTTCTTAACCATTTGACATGTATAAAACGGTGCTACTATTTTTGTTAGGTTCCTATCTTTTTTGTGGATGTTACTGATAACGTTTTGGAATATTGTGTGCCTAATCCCATTTTTCCCATGGGCCTTGTGATTCTTTTAATGTGATTTCGCATAATGTGGTATAGGAACACTTACGTCACATTTTAGCAGAATTGACTCTGTAAGTTAATTGAAATAAAAGAAGATTAAAGATTCAGTGCCTGAGTCCCACTGACCACCATTTCACATGGTCAGTAACCACATGTGGCTAGTGCCTACATTTACATAGAAAGAACAGGGCAGATAGAACATTTTTGTTATGGAAAGTTCTACTGGACAACTCTGACATACACCTTGAGTGTTTAGTCTGAAAGATCAGATAAAATGATGGGCTTACTACTATAAGAGCTTGCTCTTGACCTTTCATCAATGCCTGATTAAGTCTGTTCCTGTTCCATCATTATGGGTTCCTTATCTGCTGAGACCATGAGTTAAGAATCTATGGGACACCCTTCTTTTGTCTTGTTTGTTTTCCATTCTTTGAGGTGAAACTACAAAAGTATTTTGTTTCATTGCTTATATATTTTTTTGCAGGTGAAATTTGAAGCTCAGAAGAAAATTTTACAAAGACTAGAGTCTCACATCCAAATGCTCAATGGAGTCAATGTGACAACAGCTGCATCCAAATTTGAGGGGCTCCGTTGTCTTCTCCATCCTATTATACCCTCTGTAAGCCCCTACCTCCCTATTCCTTATCTACTAAGTCCCCTTAATGGCTAATAATATCATCTATTATTTATAGGACACACTTGCTAGGTACCAGGCCCTATGCTAAGTGATCATCATGCATCATTGTCTCATTTTACTGTTTATAGTAACCCAGGGAGTAAGTATTATCATTTTATAGATGAAGACAGAGAGTCCCAGAGAGATTAAGTAATTTGCCCCGGACACACTTCTAGAAAATTCCAGAGCTGAGATTCCACTCAGATATATCTGGTACAGAGTCTACTTTATCAACCACTCTACTTACCTCCTTAGATTCCAGACTTTGGAAACCCTTTTAATGAGGCCTCAGAGAGGCAGAATTTCATTTATGGCTGGGATTGGCAAACTAAAGCCCTTAGGCCAAACTTGCCTTGCTGCCTGATTTTGTAAATAAAGTTTTATTGGAACACAGCCAAAGTCACTTGTTTATGTATTGTCTGTGGCTGCTTTCACACTACAGTGGCAGAGTTGAGTGTTGCAGCAGGGACCATACGGCCTGTAAAAACTGAAATATTTACTCTCTGGCCCTTGACGGAAGAAATTTGCTGACTCCTGCTATATGGCAAGATTGGAACTCCTTTCTACTATGAAGACTCTTGATCTTCTCAGCCACAGACTTTCAGATATGCCATATCTTCCAAGCAAGCATCATTTATCCTCATCCAGAGAATATTCCTGCTTTCTCTTTATTGTTTTCCTCCTTGGTTTCATTTGACCTCTTGTCCCCTCTCCTGTCTTTCTGTCTTCTCCAGCCTGTCATCAGTGGCTACCGAAATAAGTCCACCTTCTCTGTGAACCGAGGTCCAGATGGCAATCCAAAGACTGTGGGGTACTACGTGGGAACTGGGAGAGGTCAGTTGAAGGCTGTGACAGACCAAGGACTGGGAGGAAGAGAAGGATACAGAGAACAGTATCAGCAGGAGGGGAAAATAATGATGTTCTTAAAGAAGAAGGTTGAATTGGAAGTCTCTGATGCAGAACACGATCACAGGGTTGATTGTGGATACTTTTTGATGGGTAATCATTATAACATAGTGATAGAAATCACAACCCTTGCCCTTTTTTGCTCTAAAAGCTATACACCTGATAGCTAGTAAATACTTAGTAAATGTTAGCATTGTTGCTGCTTCTGTCTCATCGTCGTCATCATCATTTTATGCTAGTCTTCATAGTGAGAGCAGTCTCCTTGTCTTTTCTATTTCACATCCCCATATGCCTGGAAGCTAGAACTTTCTGTGGTAAGTCTGGAAGGGGTGATGGATATTGGTGAGGGAAATCACAATGGCAAAATTGGAATGGGTGATGCATACTGGTGAGGGAAATCACAATGGCATATTTCTGAGACTTAATTCCAGTGTCCATTCACAGATTCCATCCCTGAGCTTTCCATTTGCCCATTTTCAATAAATCCACTTGAAACACCATCATTTTATATTAGTCACACTGTTTAATATCCATATGCCTTAAACTGCAGTTCGTTAGGGCAGGCACTTGGCTTTTTTCCCTCTTATGTGCTGAATTAAATGAGTATATGACGTCAGTGTTCTATTATTTAGTAATAGAAAACAAAACCCATTACATTTTATTTCCCTCTTAAAATCTGAACAGAAAGCGGACGTTGGCATATTGCGCATTTGTGGCATGAGAGAAAATATTGAGGACTTGCTCCATTAAGAATTAGCTGCTTAATGGGTAGACCAGGAAACAATTAGGTTTTCTTTGAAAAATGGCTGTGAGCTTGAATTAGGCACTTTGCTTCTTCATATCTACATATGCCTCTTTGAAGGAGGGAATTTGAAATGCCATTTTCTTTTAAATAATCTTTTAGGACTAAACTGTATAAATTAATTCTTTTTCTTTCCGTAGATGGGAACATCATTTGTGTACAGTCTAAGCATCTGAAAAACATCCCTCAGAAACACAATCAAGTGGCACAGGTAAAAGGGAACAGGGCTGGTTGAAGATGACCCGGGGCATTGTAGTCTTATAACAGCACTGTCCCTGACATTTTAATAACGGAGCCACTTCTAGTGCTAGAGGGTAGGAGGAGCTCTGTACTGAAAGTGTACCTCTTCACTTGGAGAGAACATTGCTAGTGTTTCATTTCAGTAAGGGTAGAGAGGAGGAGAGAGAACTGCGTCCATTATTGTAAATGTCAGGCATCCAAGAAAGGACTTTAATGGTAGGGAAGTGTTAGGAAAGAGATATTGATGCGGCCACTATAGAAAGTGTTAGATGTCTGAAATATTTGGAAGGCTAGTGTTTTCAGCAGGACAGAACTGAGAAATACGAGATGTAGGGGTGCTGGTAAGGTATCTACATCATGAGATTGGCCTCTGAGACATTTTTCTATCATTCTATTTCATGTACCCAATATTTATTGAGTGCCTACTATGTGTTTTAGGCACTGTGCTAGGTGCTGGGGTTACAGTGACTTAGCATGTCAGTAGACATGGTGCCTGTTCTTATGGAACTTAAAAAAAAAGGCCAAAGCCTTACTAGTGAAAACTGAGCAGAAATCCCAGCTGACTGACTCTCTTGTTCCTTGTTAATTCTTACCAGCACCCACGCTCCTAGTGATTCAGGTTTCTAACACTCGGCTGCTATCTTCTGATAGGACATATCTTGACCCATGGAATTTCCCGGCTAAGACACAGCTCTCTTTGTAAGATCATTCTCTAGACATCTTCCTCCATGGCCCTCGTCAGCTTCTTCTATTCTTTTCAGTGACTATTCTAAACTCTTACCTCTCTTCAAATTTCCTACCCAATCACCTTTGCCCTTGCTCTTGGCAGACAACCATGCCTTGTTCTTCACTGGAAAATTAAGGCCATTAGATGAGAACTCTATTAGCTGTTTTTCCTACCATCTGTAAATTTCACTGAAATCTTACCCCCCCTCCCCCCGTCTCAATGAAGGTGGTGACTGGTCCTCCCTTTGTCCAAGGCTTATCATTATTCCTGTTTGGACTCATCTCCTACTTTCTAGTATCCCTGCTCCTTCATTACATACCCTCTTTCTTCTATTTCTTTACCTCCTCCCCCATCTCTATCAGCTCTTTCAGTTCATAAGAATATTAAATATCTCCCATATTTTTTTTTCTTTTTTTTTGAGACAGAGTCTCACTTTTGTTGCCCAGGCTAGAGTGAGTGCCGTGGCGTCAGCCTAGCTCACAGCAACCTCAAACTCCTGGGCTCAAGCGATCCTCCTGCCTCAGCCTCCCGAGTAGCTGGGACTACAGGCATGCGCCACCATGCCCGGCTAATTTTTTGTATATATACTTTTAGTTGGTCAATTAATTTCTTTCTATTTTTAGTAGAGACGGGGTCTCGCTCAGGCTGGTTTCAAACTCCCGACCTCAAGCAATCCGCCCGCCTCGGCCTCCCAGAGTGCTAGGATTACAGGCGTGAGCCACCGCGCCCGGCCTCAAATATCTCCCATCTTTAAGAAAATCTGGTGGTTTTTCTGCCCCCAACACTCTATAGAAATTGATCTTTTAAAATTTTTTTTGAGACACAATCTGCCTCTTGTCCCCTAGCTGGAGTGCAGTGGCATAATCATAGCTCACTGTAGCCTCCAACTCCTTAGCTTAAGTGATCCTCCTGCCTCAGTTTCCTGAGTAGCTGGGACTACAGGCACGTGCCACCACACCTGGCTAATTTTAACATTTTTTTGTACAGATGGGGCCTTTTTTTGTTGCCCAGGATGGTCTCAAACTCCTGGCCTCAAGCAGTCCTCCCACCTTGGCTTCCCCAAGTGCTAGGATTGATTACAGGTCAGAGCCACCGTGCCCAGCTAGAAATTGATCTTATTAAAGTCATCAGTGACTTCTATTTGCCACATCCAATGGAAACTTTCTGTTCCCAACTTACATTTTCTCTGCCTGTGGCACCGCTTATTATTCTTATTTTTCTCTTGAAACACTGCCTTCATTTGGTTTCTGGGATACCATTCTCTGATAGTTTTTCTTTTGATCTTGCTGGCTACCTCTTAGTCTTTCTCATGGGACTTTTTCTCTTCTTTCCCGCTGTAAATGTTGATATCCCCCAGGACTCTGTCCTTGGCCTTCTTCTTTCTGAACATACTCATGGGAAACCCCATCCAACCATGGCTGATGACTTGAATGGCCACTTGTAAATCAACGACTCCTAAACTTATATTTGCGTTCTGGCGCCCTCTTGAGCTTTGGGAGGTGTGTTTCCAAAAGGCTACTGAATGACCTCAGTTGTGATGCAGAGCTCTTGAAATCAACATTGTCCCAGATCAGATTTTCTCAACCATCACACTATTGACATATTGGGTTGGATAATTTTTTGTTGTGGGGGGGTTGTTAAATTCATCATAGAATGTTTGGCAGCATCGTTGGCCTCTACCCACTAGATGCCATTAGCTGTAACAACCAAAAATGTCTCCAGAGGTTGCTAGATGTCCCCTGGGGAACATAGTTGCCCCCAGTTGAGAACCACTGCCCTAAACTTATCCTCTTCCTTTCCCAAATGTATTTCTTTTTTTTTTTCACCTTAGTTAATGGTACTACCATGTACTATAAATGTGTCATCCTAGACTCCTCCATTTTAATTTCCCCTTCCTCCTCAGCCACATCTAATCAACCTCCAAGTCTTGGAGGTTTTACTTTCTAGACATATCTTGGATACACATAATTCTCTCATCTTCCACCACCACCACTCTAGTCCCAGCTATCTTCTCTAGCCTAGACTACTGTAGTAGCCGCCAAACTGATCTCACGGATCCCAGCCCCATCTCTCAGTGTATTCTCTGCACAGCAGCCAGAGCCATCCTTAAAATGCAAGTAAGATTATGCCACTCTAATGCTTAAAATTCTGCAGTAGATGCCCAATAGCTTTTGGAATGAAGTTTAAATTCCTTACTTTTTTTGCACTTAAGAATCTTTATGATAAGATCCCTAGCCTAATCTTCTGCCACTGCTATCTCAGTTCTGCCTGAGGCTGTCCTTTCTATCTAGAATGCCTTCATCTGGCTTCTGCTAACTCTCTAAGATTCATTTTAGGCATCAGATCCTATAGAAAACTGTATCTGACTCCTCCGTCTGATTAGGGCTTCCCTCCTCTGTACTCCTGTATCTCCATTGCATATCTCCTGTTGTAGCACTTGTTACACCTTATCATGTTGTTTGGTGGTGCTTCCCACAGTTAGACCGTGGAGGTAGTAGCTCTGTATTATTTAACTTTGTGCTCTTGCACTTAACACAGATTCATACACATAGTGGGTGGTCACCAAATGTTTGGTAAATGAATACCTTTTTGTAATATTACCCAAGTTTTTAGCCCTTTCGGCTGCTGTTGGGCAAATTTCTACCCTCCACATCTATCCAAATTCCTCCTCCCTGTAAAATTTTTACAAGACTCAAAATCCAATCCAGTAGGTACCCAAATACAGGCCAGATGCCTTTTGTGTACCTTTCAGGCATATACAATAAAATATAAAAAACAAAAACAAACTAAAAAAATAATATTGCTTGATACACATATAGCACTGAGCTGTTTTCAGTATTTTTTGTACCTTTGTGTTCTTTCCCTGTTACTGGTACTGACATTCCATTCCATTAAGATGGTACAGTAACCTTAGTTTGCCCCCTGTTTGAGGCTTAAATATCTATTTTGAGACTTGAGGCAAAAATGTGAATTTTATGGCAGCTGGCAGCCAGGGCACCAAGACCTAAGAAGCTGTCTTTAGTTTTATTTTTATTCTTTTTGTGAGACAGAGTCTCTCTCTGTAGCTCAGGCTGGAGTGTAGTGATGTAATCATAGCTCACTGTAACTTCCAACTCCCAGGCTTGAGCAATCCTGCCTCAGCCACCTGAGTAGCTGGGACTACAGGTACACACCACCATGCCCAGCTAATTTTTCCTATTTTTTGTAGAGATGCGGTCTCACCATCTTGCCCAGGCTGGTCTTGGACTCCTATCCTCAAGCAATCCTCCTACTTCAGCCTTCCAAAGTGTTGGGATTACAGGCATAAACTATTGCTCCTAGCTAGAAACTGTCTTTAAATAACTTGGTTCTTTCAACTTCTTCAAAAAGCGATCAGCTTACATTTGTTTGTTTATTTTGGTATCGTTATGAACTCATAGATTTTTTTAACATACTTGATATGTTTCAATCTGCTGTAGATACTATTTATTTTCAAATTGCTCCATTTGAGGCCATTGGAACCTCTTTAAGTTGCCTTAGAGCCCTAGATGACCCTGATAGTTCTGGACCGATAAGATATTCATAGCACATTTAGTCCATTTTCTGCCTGAGACTTGGAATCAGCCATTTCTTCAGGGAATCCTTGTTTCTTTTGGTGGGAAATGGTATTTGGAGGCCACAATATGGGTGCCAGGGGTGTTCATTTGTACTGGGTTGGTCATATTTCAAGGCTTTTCTAGTGGACAGAGCTAGGAAATATTTTTTAAAATATATATGTTCATATTGATATATACAAATCAAGTTTAGAATTAGTTTTTACTTAAATCTTTCAATTTCATATTTTTATCTCTTGTCTGTTAAGTGAAAATTTTAGCTCCTGACATTAATATACTTATTTGTTCTATATTACTATCTATACAATAATTTCAGAAACAATATGATTACTAACAGATGATGCTTGAAACATAGCTCAGGATTTCTTTCTACTTCTTTTTGTCAAATTATTGTGCCCCTTGAAATAATTCCTTTTTTTGTAGTCAAGCCACCACCATTGAACACTTGGTACACAGGTTCTATTTTTTGCTTTCAAATTTTAGAGATTTTCTATTTTTCATTTTGATATCATTTTGTAAAATATTTACATGGTTCCAAAGTCAAATCTACAAAATAAAGGTATATTCAGAGAGGTCTTTTACCTTTGTCTCCTCTACCCAGATCCTTCCCTCCTCCTATAGGTAACAATTTTTGTTGGTTTTTGCTAATTT